TTTTCCTTTCACTCACAGACCCCTTCTTATACTCCATGGCAGAAAATTACTTAAGATGCTATAAAGAAGTACAGAATCTAGAACACAATGAAACATATTAGCTGATAGAACGGATCTGAAATTAACCCATCTCTCCTTCAAGCCTGTAATGGAGACAATTCAAAGAAACAAGTTTTACACCAATGCAAGATAAAATCTTGATAATTAAAAAAAAAGCCAACTTAGCCTGTTTCTATACACCTTTTTCTGAAACCTTATTTAATGATTTGATCTTTCTTTCTCATTTTTTAAAATTTCTGGGACCCTTAATACAATCTTTGCTGATTTATTTTAATCAGTGTAACCATGATCCTTAGCTTAGATCAACTATTCCATCAAACTTTTCCAACAACATGCTTCAACTTCTTGTTTCCAAAAAGCAACTTGAAGGAGCTTATCCCCTAAGTCCAATTTAATAGCGATTTCTCTTTTGAATTATAATGCAATATCATAGAAGCTTGTAACAAACAATGAAACCTGGGGAGTCGAGAAAATTACCGCTTTCTTGTCTCCAGCATCATGATCATTTTCAGTTGCAACAACAGAACTCATGCTTATTTTCTAACACATCCTACATAACAAAGAAATAATGTGTTATTGTCTATGATTGAACTATGTAGACAACCATTTAGAGGTTCTACGTAAAAGAAATGGACCATTCTAATGTCTTCGCCTACCTTCTCTACCCTATTAAGTAGAATTCCTTCAGTTTTGGAGCTATCACTATTTTCAACTTCTGCTACTGGATCATCATCACTTTCATCTACTTTGAGGTCCTGCCAAAAGGATGATAATAACAAAGACAATGAAAAAACAAACAGACGAAAGAAGATGTGCACTCATGTAGAGACACTTAAAGAGAAAATAAAAAAACCACTAGTCTAACCTCATTTAAAGAAGAATACTCCACATTACCAACTGTATCATCATGTGTACTTTCTGTGGATTTGTCTTCATTGCTAGCTTCTTGCTGAACTTTTTCATTTTTCACCTTCCCTTCCTCAGCTTTCCTATTTTCTCTTAAAGTTTCCTCTGCTGCTCTTTCTTTGTTCTCTTCCTTCTCTTTCTGCAATCTTGCTTTCTTCTCTTCCTTCTCTATCTGTTCTTTACATTCTACACAAGGTAAGCAAACAAATCATGCTGCAATAACCTCAATATTAACAGGTACAAAATAAAGAAAATTGAGGAGCAGTTTGTGGACCCTTTGGTCAACCTTGAACAGCACATGGATGAAAATTAGATTATTTGAACCTCCATAGACCCACAATTTAGGCGCTATTTAAAAAACTAAAAAACTTTAATGCTGAATTTGTATTGTAATATTGTTATACAGCCTACAATTAAGTTCTGTAAACATTCTGATTGGGTTTTATGCAAAAGAGATACACTGCAATGGTTTGAAGAGGAAAGGTAGAAGAAATTATAGTTAGTACAATAAATATAATGTTGTCAGAAAATATTTAATCATGTACTACCCTGAATGAATAATCAATCAAAATGACGAAGCTAAATCTTCGATATTTTTTTTTTCAATGCATTATCAAATAGCTATTTAGAAAGATATATAACAAAGAAGAAAAAAAACAACCATATATAAACAATGGACTCCTGCATTTTGAAGACCTACTCGAGTGATAAAGGAGTTGGTCATAAAATGGAACCGAAAGGAAAGTAAAAGCTGAACAAGTGGTTTACTATTGTTTTTTTAATTCTTTGTTTGGCTCAGAAACAGGTAGCCTTTTTTCCACCTGTTTACTGACCCATGATTGATGACTTAATTCAAACCCAAAATCTCAAATATTCCCATAGGAAGGAGGTATTGCTAGATTATATTACAATGCAATAACAAGTGCTTTGCAAACCTATAAAGTTCAAAGAATTTTCTTTTAATATAGAGAATAAACATGCCAAAGTCATGCCTAGAGAAATAAATTTAGACATCAAAGACACAGGTCATCCTAATTAAGAAAGAAGATGATTGGAATTAATAATGAGAGTACACTACAACAAAGTACAGAATACAAAATGATTACTTAGCCAAAGACAAAAAGAAAATTGCACAGACAATACAATGATCATAATCATAACAGAAATAGGGTGACCAGATGAAGATTAAGGCTTTGCTTAATAGGTGGACAGGAGACAGAAAGGGGGAAGCTTGGAAAATTTTCTAATCTAATGGTCAAATTTCAAATCTCCTTTGTTTACGGTATATGTATTGGTTTGAGAACTTTTCAATTATTCCTCCTTTCCATCAGAAACCAAAAATGAAGAGAAATATCATCGATTGCTAAAAGTATAAACTGCCTTATGGCGCAGAGAAAGGGGAGTAGTATAATTAACCTTGAAGATGCCCAAATTACAAATGGAAAGCTAAACAACATCAATTAACATTGTGAGAAAATTTGATTGCCAAACATTTCATGAAGATTGACATTAGAGAGGACAAAATGGTGTCAAATGTTTGGTAAAAGACAACATAATTAATAAGACAAAGAGGTAGACAAATTGAGTTGAGTTGAATTGAAATCAAACTATAAACACACCTTATAAATTATAACTAAAACCACATCCACTCATATTAACAGTATATAAGAGTTGAGATTTAGGATTGTGATGGAATTTGCTATATATGCATCCTTGAGATTTTTAGCTTGCTGGATAGATGAGGAAAACAATGACACCCCTAATTAGAGTTTTGAGAACAAAATCTTGTTTCAGGTAAGCAGATGTCATGCCACATGTGAAACCATTTACGTTCTGCATGTAACATTTTCTGTCACCAGTCATGACGATACTCATATTATTGATTGTACACAACCTCGAGAAAAATAAATAAAAACATTTCAACATACACATGCAGTTCAAATTAGACGAAGTACAATATTGTCACAACCAAAATGATAATAGGACGAATATCAAGGAATCTTGAGAAGAAAGCTTACCTTTAAGGTTTTGAACAAGAACTTTCAGTATCTTCTCCTCATCTTTAAGCTTTTTTAATTCTGCTTCATCTTTGGCTATAGTAATTTTTAGCCTGTTCAACTTCCAGCTTTCGTATTGTAGTGCCCTCCTTATATGTAGTGATTTTTTTTGTCAGCCTGTCTTTAGCCACTTTGCCAGCCTCCCAGCACATATTGGGGCACTTCATTTTACCATCATACTCATCATTCCCATCACAACAATCTGGGGATTGGAAGCCAGTGAAAAGCAGCTCAATATAAACAGAGAATCTGGGGATTAGACTTTATTGGTGCAAAAATATCAGCCATTTCCATGAATGCGGTGCACTTAGAGTAAGACACAGACCACGGATACCATCATTTACTCTGGAAGAAAATAAGAATTGTGGAACATGTCCAGCATTTTGGCAGTAGAACTTTGCAGTTGGGCAGGCCGATGTACCTATGAGGGAACATGAGGGTTAACAAGAAGATGCCGCATATCATATTCCTATGTGTGTAGCCACTAAAACAACTAAAAAAGAAAATCGAAAGGAAGCGCAGACCAGGCTGATCAGTGCCGTCAGGACATTCGCAAAAGTCATCGTTGAGCTGGGGTTGGAGAAGTTCTTGGATCCGTCTTTGCTCTTGATGCTATCTGATGATGACTTGTAGTATTTGTCATCTGGGTATCATTTCATATCAGCTATTGTAGCATAAGTAAAACAAAAAAAAAAAAAATTATTACAGTAATTGATATGAAGATCATTAAAGAAATATTGGGAAAAGACCTTGAGGAGAAATTCCAATAAATGGGTGTTTGGGAACACAAGAAGCTGATCTAACAAATGAAGCTATGCATAACATAAGGAGAATGAATATGGAATATACTCTCATCTTCTGCAATCCAACCCAACCCAAATCTCTCAGAGAGGCAACCGGAGAAGGCTACAAAACTAGTCTAGTCTTGTACAACTACACACTCTGCAACTAGCCAACTACATCTACAACTGGATCTGTCTGCGTCGCGGAGCTACGCCACGCCAGGGGCAGGCATTTCGGGGTTTAGATGACATGACGGCCGTTTTCTTGCGAGAATGAAACGATGTCGCTCAAGTTGTATAAAAGATAATGGAATTTGAGTTTATCTTTTAAGATTTAAAAAGTGATATTTATCGATTTTATGATTTGTTTTATTGTAATTTTATCTCAAACAGTTACTTTTTTTATTTTTTTTACTTAAAATAATTAAATTTTTTATTATTTTATCTTTTTTTATCTTTAATTTATCTTTTTTTATTTTTTTAAATAAGATGAATTCTTTCTCTAAATAATTAAACCTAAAACTACCCAAAAACTTTTTTTTCACAAACTCAAAAAAAATATATCAAACAAATATCTAAAATTTTGATTTTGTTATTGAATGTATGATGTTCTTTGAGGATAATAATAATTCTTAGTTGAGATTTTTAATTAATTAATTTATTTATATATAAATTTTAAGTTTTGTGTGCTTTAAATAATAAAATTTTTGTTGTTAAGAATTGTATTAAACATAAGATAAACAATCAATTTCATTCGATGGTCATCAAAAACCTAAAACAACCAACGACAAATTCAAAAACCTAAAAATAAAACCCAATACCAAAAAAAAAAAACCTCATAAAATGTAAATCTATTATGAATAACTCACATAATAAACTCATAAAATAATCATAAATTCATATAACAATCATAACAACTCATGAATAAAGATTTTTTTTTTTTGAGTTTCGATTTGAATTTTTTAAAAATTTTTAAATTTTTAAAATAAAAATAGAAAAAGGAAGAAAGAAAAAATCAATAGACCATAATAGTATATTTTTTTAACATTTAATTTTTCACTTGCTTAACATTACGAAGAATTTATGTTTTTTTAAAAAAATTTGAATTTGAAAACAAACAAACAAAAAAATTGATAAAAATTTAGGGTTTATTGATTAGATGTTAATAAAAATTAATAGAATGTCAAAAATACATGATTCAAAATGATTAAACATCACTTTTTAAATATCATGAAGTAAATTCAAATAGTATTAATCCTTATGAAATTTACCCTTTTATTTATTAGTAGGAGTTACAGTAAGCAATTGAGTTGGTATTAGTGATATATATAAACTATATTAAAAGTGAATACTACAAATTAACCCAAGAGAAGAATATCTAAATCAAATATTTGAGAACGATGAATAAATATCATCATCAATATCGTTATTATGGTCATTGGTATAGAAATAGATAGGGCAGTGACATTGAGAGCGGCCATAGGAAACAACAACATGGAGGGAATCCGGTCAAGCTGTGTTCTAAGCTGTTATTCTTCTTCTTCTAAATCTCATCTCAGATTAGTTCATCATCAGCCGTTTGAGTATCCATTTCTGTGCTTGCCCAAGCGTCGATACCTCCTCACACAGCCCGGAATTCGAAGCTCTCTCCAGGCCCAGAACCAACAATCTTTTCACAAATCCAAAGAAATGCTCCCAAAGATTGACAAGAGTGGCCGCTTTTGCAGCCCCAGAGCCGCCCGGGAGCTTGCTTTGTATGTCCATCCCCTCCTCTTTTTCTTACTTCCTTATATTCCTCTTTCCAGTTTCATTAAATTCAAGATTTTTGGGTGATTCGGCAGATTAATAGTTTACGCGGCGTGTTTGCAAGGCTCTGACCCTATTCGACTATTTGAGAAACGAATTAATGCAAGCAGAGGTACTATTACTTTTTTGTTTTATCATTTCACCACTTTTGATTTAAGAATACTGAATTGTTTGTTTTTGTTCAAAGAACCTGGTTATGAATTTGACAAGGCCTCGTTGATGCGATACAATCACATGAGCTTTGGAGGACCTCCTGTTACTACACATTCCGTTGAAGAAGCTGATGAGCTTTTGCGCAGTGATGAGCTGGATTCTGCTATTGGTATTTTACCCCAAAATTGCATTGCATTACTGCTCCTATTAACTCTTATGCTTTTCTCTACGCATAATTGAAACTGTCCTACCTTTTGCCTCTCCATTCCATTTATGCTCCTTCCCTTTCAATTAACTATTGTCTTTGTTTGACTGACTTGTTATATTTTCCAATTTTCTGATTCATGTCTCAGAGGCAGAAGTTCTTTCAGCTCCTCCAAAGTTGGTGTACAGCAAGCTACTTTTGCGGTAAACCTTCTAATTTTTGCAGTGCATCATTAAGTAAACATTGTAGGCTATTGCACTTTGGCAGTTGACTCAATGTTAGGTGCATATATCTTTCTGCTGAATGAGCTGGGGTCGAATCCCTCTTACCCCAAATTTGTACTTGATAAAATAATAAAGCATTGGTGGCCCGAATTAGATTTGCATTTGACTGACCTCTTGTTCCTTCTTGTAGTTTCACAAGGAAACTTTTGGTAGCAATTGTGGACAAATGGGACAGTCATGTTCTTGTTATTGATAAAGTTGTGCCATCAAATTGGAAGGTCTGATTACATAGATGCTGTTTTAATTGTTGATAATGAAGGGGATTTTTCTCTTTTTTTCTTTCTTTTTTTTTTCCCAAGATTTGACCCTTAATTATCTTGATCTGTTTGTTGGATATTTGTCTACCGTTCTGTAGGCTTTTGGCATGTAAATTTGATGTCTATTGAAATGTACATCAGTCCCTTCACCCTTCCATTTTCTTATGCATCTTTTACATATATATTCAACCTTTTTACACCGTGTATTTCAAGATAATTCATAGTGCATGTAGATACCTTACATCTGTATATATTGGCGCCTCACAGAATGAGCCAGCCAGCAGGATTTTGGAGCTTTGTATTCTTCACTTGGCAATGTCGGAGATAATTGTTCTTGGAACACGGCACCAGATTGTCATTAATGAGGCATCTCTCTTATGTTCTCTCGTTAATGAATGTTATTTTCCTTTAGCATATTTCCAACCATTAGGCATTAGCTGTATATTTAAATTATGCATTGCATGTTCTGTGAAGGCTGTTGATCTTGCCAAGCGGTTCTGCGATGGGGCAGCACCACGAGTAATCAATGGGTGCCTACGGACCTTTGTGAAGGATTTTGCTGGGATTGGCATAGCTCAGGCCCCAAACTCTAAACAGGACGTGCCAGTTGAAGTGTGAAGTGAATTTATTTAAGGTTGTCTTCTGCTTCTCGTCTGTCTGCGACGAAAGGTTGTCTTTATGTAGTGTATTCTTCAGCTGATTTTGGAAAGCGTCCTTGGTATCTTTTAGTGAAGTTCACACAGCACAATGCTGCATATCAAGTGACTGACTTATTGTAACAGGGTGCAGCGAATTAAAAGCCCGAATTTTTGGCAATGATTGACATTTGACGGCTGAAGATTTTGTATATGATTATGCTGTAGTTGGTATATTTATGTATAACATAAAATTATATATGAATCACCTACATCATTCTTAGACCCTCATAATAACTTGTGCCCATTGAATTCTTTAAGGGTCTTTCCAGTATCGAAGTAAGATAGTGTTGCAACCGGGTGAATAGGACAGAGGAAGGCCATGGCTGTCATAGCAGGTAAGGAAAGTTGGGGGGTAAATTGAGTATAGAAAGTGGGGATAGGAATTGAAGAGTGCATCGGACGTGGCCAAGTGGGGACCAAGATTGCAAACTACAAAGTTTGAAATACGAGAAACCAGGATTATTAAATGCGACAGTATGAGCATTGAAATATATTTTTATTCACCAATTAGAATTGCCTCCTAAGATTTATAATTGTCTAAAAAAGGTCAATATAGATATATTATTGGACCTTTTAAATAACAAGCAAAAACATTTTACGAAAATTAAACACTTTCGCATAAAATATGTAAAACAAATATTGGACGTTCTAGAAAGAAAAAAAAGGCATTGCAAAATTGATTTACCAAAATTTTAAATCTACTGAATTTAGAATTTATTTCTTTTTTTTACTTTAGAAAAAAAACAAAAAAAAAAAGGATCTTGAACCTTCAACACAATTCATATACTGGAACCAAAATTAAATAAATGAATCTAGGAAAAATTTACTTTGACTTCGAAGTGATTGCTCCCAACATTCCACGTCGTATATTTTGTTTTTAAATTGATTCAATTTTGAAAGGACCTTTATCAATTGGTAATGTTACTCTAATACCCAACCAAAAGGCCGCTGCAATACTAATAAAAAAACGATTGTCGCAGCTTGACAACGAAATGGATTTTGGAATTTATTAATATTTTTCAAAAAAAAAAATTATTAATAATTCTGTAGGTACTAAAATTATTAAAAGAACACTTCATAACTCGTTAAGTATTGTACGAAGTATTTGACATACGAAAAAAAAATACCATTTAAGTAATATTTCCAAAGGAGTTGCAAATGGATTCACAGGATCATTAAAGGTTCTAGAACTACTAGACCTACATTACAAGTAATAGTAAGAGAATTACTATAGAAAAAATATATAAAAGATCATTGGGTCATGCAGGTTCCCCGTGATAATTATGACCTATACCTTTAGCTAATTTAGTTTTTAATATAAGATTGTTCAAGGTTTTTTGTTATTAGGGTAGGTGAATTTTTCTAAATCCATCCCTTGAAGAAACCAAACATAATAATTTTTCATCGTCCGACTTAAGCAAAATCAATCATATCAAATAGATACAAACGGATACATATAAAATAAATCTATGTATTATCCAAATTTATATGAATGATTCTATATGTAAGAAAACAGTTACCAAGTTGCAGTTATACATTCCAAATAATTTCATTTTTATAGGTAAATACTCAATACCCAAGTAGGCGTACAATGTTGATTGTTATCAAGAGCTTCTGGATCATTTTAGGCTTTACGATTCACTTTTATCTTAAAAAATATATTGAGATTTTTTATATAACAAAGATTTACTTGTTACCAATATAGTCTAGCCTTTGCTTTTCTTTAGATCTCTTGTTTCACTTGATAGTATAATAATAAATCGAATCAATGCAGAAGAAATGAATGCATTTTCATACTATTAAGATAAGAAAGTAAATAAATAAATAAAATCTAGTTTGCATTATGCCAAATCATTTATTTTACTGGATCTTATAGAGCCATATTTATACACAATATCGTCAAATCTAATCATAGAAAAGATTCTTTTCAAGTGAACCAGCTTATCCTTTGTATGAGGTTTACATGGTGGTGGGAATAAAAACGCATTCTCGTGTGAATTCCAATGTAGCGGATAAAGATATATTTTTGCATGACCCAATCAATAATTCAAGTCACACACTCCCATAATCCATTTTCTCTTCCAGGAATTCTCTTCAACTATTCATATCATATCAAATAAGTAATAGAATATTATAAAGTTGAAAGGAAATATCCGAATACCTATCTTATTTTTTTCAATAATCCATATTTGTAGCAATGAAATATTATTGTTCCACCCTCAAGTAATAAGATAAATGATTGGTTACAACATAGCTATTCTCTAAAAAAGACTAGAAATGCCTTGCGTACATATTATTAGGAAATGCATTAACATAAATACAATATTAAGAAAGAATAATACAGAACTATGTAAACTATAAAAATGGGTTAAAGTGGATTGTCCCACACTAGCACTTCCACACAATAACTCTATCAAAAGTGATCCTATTACCGGAATAACTTTCAAAATGCCTATTACAATTTTGACTACCCAATAACCAATTTGATCCCAAGGTGAGAAATAACTTGTTAAACCAAAAAATGTGATCAACGTAGCCAAAACTATGCCTATAACCCAAGCCAATTCGCGAGATTTTTTTTTTTTTTAAACCACAAATGAGATAGACATGAAATATATACAAGATCATCATTAAGACCACATACTTGCCAGCCATTGATGAACTAATCAGATTAATCAATCAAAGTTAGCTTTAGTCATTATGTTTTGAACAAAAGCAAAAGTCTTAGTAACGGTTGGGCAATAATTAACAAGTCATAGTTTTATGCATTAGAGATAAAACAGTATCAAGTAGGGTTTTTTCAGCCTTTTTTTGCGGAGCTCAATTAGGTAGTTTAAAGTAGGGGTATAATTAAGTAGAACCAGTCAATCTATTATCGTTAAGCTTATCTCTAGTTGAATACTTAAGGCTTGAAACTTAATTCAAGATCGACCAAATTTCATTTTTCATATTTGAGCTCAACTCAAACTTTATTCAAGTAGCTTGAGTTAGTTTGATAAGAGTTCAATTAAATTGTAAATATACCATTTAACATTGTTTACTTATATATATTAAATATATTAAAACATATTTTAAAAAAAAATCAATTTGGTTCGCAAGTTTTTCAACTTGAATATTAAAATATTCAAATTCAACTAAACTCGTTACTCAATTAGGTCAAATTCGAATTTGGTTTGGTAATGAATGAATCATTTCTTTTCATTTCCACACTTTAACTAAATAATAATTGTTAGAATTCTTTCTTTCCTTTTTTTTATTAATCTTAACTATCCCAAAAAAAAAAAAAAAGGTTTATGTATCTTTTTTCTTCCTCTAAAAAACCTTCCATTCCTTCACTTTCCTTTCCTTTCCTTTCCTTTCTCTCACTAGTTTTTATCCAAACATAATGTAAGAGTAAAAATTGGAAGCAAGAACTAAGAAATTATTAAAAGATGATCTATGTAATGTTTACTTTGTATATGCCTTTTTTCTTTTCAAAGCATGCTTCAAGTAATTATGCTCTTAAAAAAATTAACTATTTATTAAAATATATATAATTATAACATGATGAATATTTACTTCAGTAAGATCATTGATTGTTTTTGTAATAAACAGCTCATCTATTTCAAGATTATGGAACTTTTGTTGTGAAACATGATTGGATGTAATGTTTCAAATAATGACGTAAGATTCATTTAAATTAACAATGAGATTAATTATGATGAGATTAAAAATAATACTGAAAGTGAGATTAATTATTATAACAGTAAAATTAATTACTATAATGATGAAATTAAAATTATTAATAGAATATGTGTTTGGATACAAAAACAATGTGACGATAAGATTAATTTTAGTAGAAAGAGAAAATGAGCATCAAGAAAATTAAATTTAAAATTATATATAATAAAAATTTTAAATCATTTAATATTTATAAAATTAATAAATTATTAAATATTATTAAATTATTTTTATGTCAAATAATAATTTTGTTAATAAATAATTAATAATTAATAATGCAATCTTATAAAAATGAAATAAATTATCTGTAAACTTTTAAGTAAAAAAATTTAGAAGTAAAGCAAAATAAAGAAAAGGAGAAATGTTGAGAAAGAAAAAAAAATAATTAAGGAAAAATGTCACCATTGCTCTTCACTAGATCTTCGCAAGTCAAGTTTGTAATTGATGATGTAGCACCATGAGAATGTTTTATCAGTACAAATTTGTTACACGATTACACCTTTCAACCATGCTAAATTGAAGCTGCAGTTCTATCTAAATGAGCACTTAAGAGAAATCATACATCACACGTATAATATAAAACTCAAATATTTTGCAAATAAATGTCATATCTTTTTTACGTAAATTCTAAACATATATTTCTTAATTTAATTACACTAAATTCAATAAACTTTTGGTTACCCAAAATTTATATGGATTCATGACTTTTGATTTTCTTCTATTCATCTTCTTTAAATTTGTTATTTAAATTTATTAAAAGCTTTGATTTTCTAATATTTATGTTTTGATTTTTGATTTTCTTGTGACTTATGAATTTTTTATCCTTTTTTAGATGAGAGGGTTATAAAAGTGTATTTCATATCTGTATTACATTTTTTTTTCCAATAATGAGATTTGTTTTTTTTTTTTTTCTTATTGTGCTTGCCTTTTTATAATTTTTATAATTTTATAATCATAATTTATGAATTTTTATTTAGTATTTCCAATTTATTTTTTAGTCAATTGGTGTAATTTTTAGTGTTTGTATTTTTATTATTTTTTATTTTTTGTCATGATCATGATTTTTTTTTTTTATTTCAAATATGACTTTTAGCCAATTGAAATGTATTATAATTTATAGATTAACTTTTGAAATGGATAATTAGAGGATAAAAATTTGTGTTTGTCAATTGTGAGATATTTATAATTATAAGACCAAAAAAGGCATTAGCACAAAAATGGTATTGATTGATAAAAGGAACGCAAATAAATTTATTTTTGTTCTACTTGTGTTTCTATTTTTATTTCTTTAATTTATTTTATCAATTTTTAGTATGTCATAGAGATCTTATATTCATATTGTTCTTTATAATCATAATGCATATCAATTGAAGAATAAGATCCATGAAGGGTGTAGCTATGAATAGAGGTGATTATTTGATAATTGTTATGAACGAAAGTATGATTCATTTAGCTAGCATCAAAAAGATGCTTGATAAAAGAGTAAATATTGATGATAGTTT